GTACAAAAATGACGTTTATCTAACAATAATACTCACAGGTATTTGTGAGCAGAACTGTAATTTTCATGTTAACCCAGTCTCATGGACGTTATTCTGGCTCTATTTGGCTGAAAATCATTATAATTTGATTTAGTAATAAATAAAACTACAAAATTAAGAAACAGGTGTGACCAATGGGCCTAAATTTTATCTCTTTCTGTTTCTTTACCCCAATACTGTGTGAATCGTACAGCAACTGAAACAGTTTATCCCACGTGAGTCTGATAGAACCATGGCTGAACTTGTGGCTCGGTTTGAGGCCAAACGCAAGGAGAAAATGTATCATGCACAAGGTGACCGTTTGCAATCCGCCGAACGGCGAATGGAGCGGGTTCAACAAAATCGAACCAAAATGATGGAACACAGTCGACAGTTGCGATTAGCTCAATCAGAACTAATGGCCAAGCTTGAGTAAGACCACTTTTTCAGGGCAAAAACATCAGATCTAGAGTTGGTATTGAGTGGGTGATTTTGTGGAGAAGCTACTACAGGTTTTGTGTTGTACGTATGTGTGTGGGAGGAGGCTTACACGATTGGGAGGGTTATCTTGCCGCTGAGCTTTATAACCAGTCAATGATAGAACTTGCATCACCACTTTGATTGCATTGGCCAAGTAGGTTTCAGTAAACAACACATTTTAAAGTTTGCCTTCTGTTGTACTCTCTCACTAGTTCAACAACCGATCACCCACCCATCCACAAACACACTGTTTAGGGACAGAACCAAGACGTGATGTTGTTGGTACGGGATATTGAGTAAACTGAAAGCAGAATTATCTTAGTGCTCACATGAAGAAATCTCGCAACAATTTTCATATTTTATTCAATCGTTTGAATGAATTGGAATAGGTTAATTTATTATCACTAGACATGATAAACTTTGACTTTCAGGAGCTCCAGGATGATAAGCTTTTGACTCAAGTAATGCCAGACATTGCGGTTGTTTGAACGAAATAATGATGTTGTTTCTCGAGGCTGGTTCTGCACTGAAACAACTACACGAGTCTCGGATTCGAATGCGATTCCCTGAAGCCAACTACGGCCAAGACAAGTATGTCATTCGGAAAAGCATTAGTACCGATGGTTTCAAGTTACCACAACTGAGTCTGAGATAAATTATGATATGAATAACAGGATGTATAATAAATATCCAATACAGTTGCTGCTCTCATTCACCTCGACCAGCTAAACAGCAATCTACTCGGAGTGTCATTTGTGAGATACCCATTCGCTTTGTACAGTTATCAAGCAAAATGTTTGATCCTAATTATTGGTCACACTCACATGTAAAATGCATTTTTCTTCCGACAGAACAATTTGTGAAGGTGAATCACGTTCCGGAATATTCGATGACCATCAAAGTACCTACATTTCAAGACAGCATTTAATCCGCAACCAAAGTAATGTGTTTTACTAAGCATATTTCCCGTTTACAAACAAACGGCACAAACCTCGTACTTGGACTAATGAACTATGATTATCAAGATGCTTAATTTGAACTACACGAAATCTACGATTTTTATCAGTCGTAATGCAGCAAATACTTCTCCATTATTCATTTCATTAGGGCAAACATCATGGACGTTGTCAAAAGACCCAGGTTAAGAAGGATGAGCAGAGAGGATCAGGTGAAAATACAAACACCGATAAAAGAGAGCCTGGTAAGTGTTTTTTTATAGTGATCAATGCCATGATAACTGGACTTTCAATTTACAAAGTTTATGGGAAAATTACCGTATAAAACCATTGTTGGAATGCACCGATTGCATGAAGTTCTGTGCTCTGTGAATCAACTCCTTATTTCGTTATAAATGAAGATGGAGCAGTTATATGGTAGTTACATGATAAACAAGGGCGAACAGAGAACTACACTGCGCCCTTCGATTGGCTGCTCTACGTTTTGTGTGCTCGTCGCCTCGCCGGATTTTATTGTTATCACGATATCAAACATGTTCCGGACCTAAACATACTCTTGCCAGGATATGATTAGATTGAAATCTGTGAATTCTGTGCCTCACATAAATGATATGCTTGGAGAATCTGGCGGTCAGGTTTGGATCAAGAAGCAAAAGCGCGCTGGATAGTAGTGTGAGTTTTATTTCATCCCTCCTGCCAAGATGCTGTCATTTATCAACAACGTCCGCTTTCTCTTTGCAAAGATCTCTGATTTAACTTCTTCACTTAACACACGCATCCATTCCAGCACATGTGTAGCATTGCATTAAAGAAACCTGGTTAAATCAAAACATCGAGGATGCTCTCGTGCAGATAGATGACTTCGACTGTTACCGGCAGGGGCGACAACATAGCAGGAATAAAACTGGAGGTGGCGTGGCAACGTAAATCAACACTTCCTGGAGTGGCAAGTCTGAAGTGGTATTTGGTTATTCCGAAAAACCAATTGACCGTTTATCTGTTCGTTGCCATCCCAAATTTTCTCGATATAAAGGCACAATTATTACCAAAGTGTATGTACCTTCGTGCTCCCAGTCAGATAACTTTTTTCGTTGATCTTTACATCCAGTTTTTGTTTCCAGTATTAGATGAGAATCTTCATTTGGCTGCTGGTGACTTCAACCATGGTAGCATTTCCCCTCTGCTTTCTTTTGGCTTATCTGATTTTTCTCATTCTCCCATCAGAGGCAGCTCCATACTTGATAGAGTAGTCACAAACCGTCCCACTTTATTTTCTCTCAAACTAATGACCCCAGTCTCTACCAGTGATCATTGTGTTCTACCCTTAAGACCAAAAATATACTCTCGCTCTGCATATCCAACCTTCATACGATAAATCAAGATAAGGTTCAATCTCCGTACCTTTTCATCAACCCGCATTTCCCTTCTCTGTCGTTCCATAATGGTTGCTCAATCTTGGTTTGCTTCTTGTTCATTATTTCCTAACTATGTCGGCCTTTTCACCCAAATGATTAAATCGATGTCCCATTTATGCTGTTTCATGTAAACCCTGCTTGCAACAGCAAAGTTGTATCTCCTTGCTTGACTCATTACGGAGGCAAAAGGAACGATCCTATAAATCTCACCATCCAGCTGCCGTAAAATGCTATTCTAACTTAATTGGGCCTGAGATAACACTTGTAAACAAGACGTTTTGCTTCCCAAATCCTGCAAACGGAAAATACCAGGATTATATGGCAAGGAATTCGTCTTCTCTGCGGAAAAAAGGAGAAACGTGAACACTGATGTTGATGCAAATAGCTTTAGGGATGCATTTCTTCATCCGTCTAACGCTGACCAGATACCCTCATTCCCATGTGAGGTTTCTAATTCCGATCTGATCCCTTTTTCCAATGATGAACGTTTCGAGCTTCTACGTTCCCTCAACCAATCGTCATCTGCGGGCCCTGATGGTCTTTCTCCTGCGTTTCTCAAGTTTGGATCAACTTCTCTAACTAGCATGATGACATTCCTCATCAATGAGCCTCTTTCTTCTCAGATGATCCCTGACTCCTGTTGACCAGTGATCATAATACCTGTTCTAAAGACCTCATCCTCAACTGCTCTTGGGAAACTTTTTTGTCCCATTGCATTGACGTCTATAGTTCTAAAGATGACAGAGAAAGCTATTGTAATGATCGTAAAAGTAGTAGTAGTACGCACGGAATTCGGAACACAAACAACGCAATAGGAATCACCGGACACGAATCAGAGATCTGCTATCACGGACTGGATTACGGAAGTACTGGACCGCAATGGCACGAGGTCGTAATATCCCAGGTGAACGAGACGCGAGGAAAAGGCCACAGGAATAGTAGTACGCAGTTAGTTTGTTGGAAGAAATGGAGGCGATTAAATGATATGTACAAAAGATTATTGGTTATCTAGGCTTCCATCAATCGGATTGCAATACTGCTTGCATAAATCTGCTTCTGACTGCACTGTCTCGGATTGGCTGGCACGATCCACCAATGACGTGTTGTCAGAAGCCATACGCGTGTCATTGACGTCATCTTTCAAATTTGATTGATCGCAAATGTCCAGAAACTGTAACACGCCGCTCCAGGGTAGGCGTCATCTCGTAGGCCTGGATCACCACAACTCTCCTCCCTCAAGAGAACTTCGTCAAATTGGCTTGCTCTCCTGATTGATCGTCGGAGTGCCAGTGAGGTATTCTCGTCGGTAGGCATTCCCGGAATGGGGGCTGCTGCCTTTGATATTCTGTAGTTGTTGACGGCGTATCACAAGGGGTTTTTTCTTGGGTTTCTTCGGCAGGGTCTTCTTCCTAAGTGGGAGTTTCGTTGAAGTGAATTTGATCGATTTGGCGTCAATGAACCGTCGGATCTGTCAGATCTGTAATCTCGACCATAGCTTGGCCAATCTTGCGGGTAATCATTCCTTTTGATGGTCTCAGATCGCTTCTTCGGAAGTATACGACGTCACTTGAATCCACGCATCGTAGTGAAGACCGTAAGCTTCTGGCTTTGAACAGTTTCGCTGGGCTCTCTTTGGGGGTAACATATACGGCATTCCGGTAATGCAGCAGGAAGTTTTCTAGGAGTATCTCCGACTCTGAAATTATCTTTGGATTTGCAGAGGAAATGGCACTGTTCACCGTTTTCACCGAATTTTCTGCTGCGCCGTTGGAGCAGGGGTGACGTGGTGCTGTGCGCAGATGTCGGCAGCCAATACTGTCCAGCCCAGTTTTCAACTCCGTGGCGCAGAATTGCAATCCATTATCAGTCTCCAACACTTGAAGAATACTTAATCGACTGAAACACTTTCGTAGTACCCGCAGTACTTTGTACAAGTGAAAAAATCTCTGTCAATAAAATCCCAAGCGGCGATTAATACGGTGGTGGCCCGGTGGTAAAGGTAGCTAAATTATCTCCCCAGAGGACGAGCGCTCGAGTCCTATCACCACCGCGTGACTCCCCATTATGTGTTGTATGGCAGCCCTTTGATTGACCACTTCCCCTTTTCGGAAAATTGTATTATTGCAAATTCAATAAAAGGGAGGATAGATGAAAACCAAAGAATAATTGCCATGATTCGTCCTCGATTTGATGAGTCATTATACAGGACATTTTGGCACTGAAAGCATTGTTGCTTTATTCTAATTTACGACACCTGTAAAACAGTAAAATAGAAGCACTACAGTTGCCGTCAAGTAAGTCAATCAGATTGTTTCTCCGCGTGGTTACAGCGGACTGTTCTATGAGATTTCCAGAGGGGATGGCAAGCAAATCGATGTCCTTTGTGAAGGTCTTGGTTTCCCGTATGATGAAAAACAGTAAATACAGAGCATCTGTTAGCCTCTGCCAAGAAATTAGGAGGATCTCCAGAGCTAAAATCTTGCCTGTTGATAACTTTCCATATTTGCAGGTTCTAACGTGAATGGGTTGTCCTCTCTCTCTCCTTTTCTGTTCAATCTTGTTATAGATTTGATTATGGAAACAGC